CAGAACCCCCAGGAGTTGAGGAGCCCTTGAAGGAGGCTGCAGACCCCCAGAAGAAAGATGATGATGAAAAGGAAGGGGACTATATGACCCGGGTGGCGCCCGATGTTGAATATGAGCCCACTGAACCGGGCGAAGACCCTTTCCCACAGGTGCCAGCACCAGATGTCCCTGAAGAGCAACAGGCACAAATACAAGTGCACCGTTTGGCATTCCCCTTGCCAGACAAGAGAGGCATCACGATCTTGAATGCCCTGATCGATGCCTACCTCACCCTGAGGAGCGAAGGCATGTTTGTCAACCAGCTCCACTCCGATTTAGGAGGTGAGTTCACTGGAGCGTACATTGAAAAGTGGTGCAGGGAAAGATGCATCCTCACAACAACAACCCCAGGGGTATCCCCTCAAACCAACGGCCGAGCAGAAAGGGCCGTACAAGCAATGAAGACAGAGACGAAGAAAATCCTGCGTGGCGCGCAGGTGGGTATCGAATGGTGGCCGATTGCTGTTCGATATCTCAATGAAGTATGGAAGAGAAACAGAACAGAGGCCATTGGGGCCATCCCACCGTTCATGTCCAAAGTGCTGATCAGAAGAAGGTATTGGCGCACAAAGGACATGGAACCCAACAACGAAGAGGTTCACTACCTCGCCCCATCCTGGCGGAACTATGGGCATTGGGTACTTCGCTCAGACAACACCCAAACATTGACGAGGGCTGTCATCACCAACACCGTGGAGCCAGTCACTGAGGACACGTGGATTGCCTTAGAAGACAATCTGACTCCCTTGGATCTTCGAAGGAGAATTCGAGGAAAAGCCATGATCAGAAAGGTACAAGAGGAGAAAGATGAAGAAAGCAGGCAAGACCGGCTGAAGCGGGAAAAGGTGATACAGGAAGAAGCAGAACATGCCTTTTATGATGATGAAGAGGTTGTTGAGGCCGTACTCAGGGGGGTGAAAGCCATGCAAGAGATGGATCAAGAAGATGAAGGAGAAGTGCTCCAAACGAAAATTGTGGGCACTGCCGAGGTGGTCAAAAAGAAAGACCTTTGGCATCAGGCCATTTCCAATGAGATCAATTCACTCTTCTCAGAAAAGAAAGCGTTGAAGCTTTTGACGAAAGAGGAGAGCGACAAGTATCTCAAAGAAAGAGGAGCGATTCCACTACCTTCCAAGACCGTATTTACGGTGAAGCCAGACCCGGCTGATCGTCGGGGAAAGCGAAAATGGCGCATAGTCGCATGTGGCAACTATGAGACTGTGGGTGGAGATGAAAACTGTTTTGCGGCAGGAGCAGATGCTGCTGCCCTTAGGCTGGTGCTGGCTCTGGCCACAGTTCGCAAATGGTGCGGCATCAATGTGGACATTCGCACCGCCTTTTTGAACGCTCCCTGGAAACATGAAAAGGGGGGTGAAGATAGGTTTTTTGAAGAAGAAGGCGAAGAAGCTCCGCTGCCAATGCTTCTTAAGCCACCACCAATTTTGGTCAAACTTGGCTACTTTCCTCCCTATCAGCTCTGGGAGGTTTTGCGGGCTCTTTATGGCTTCCGGAGGTCTCCGAAACTCTGGAAGGATTACAGAGATGAGGAGATGGAAAAGATGAGAGTTGGAAAGATGAGGCTGCATCAGCTTGAATCAGAGCCGAGCACATGGGCCATCCGCCAAGAAGAGACTGGCGAATTGCAAGGGCTCACGCTCACCTATGTCGATGACATTTTGGTCCTTGCCTCAGAGGAGACTGCAGAAGCTTGGATCAGCTGCATCCAATCCAAGTGGGAAACCTCCGTCCCTGAGAAGGTGGGCCGTCAGCAAACCACCCGGTTTTTGGGTATGGAGTTGTCTCGAGATCAAAATGGAGTGTGGTGCGCCACTCAACACTCCTACACTTTGGATCTCTTGCAGAAGAACATGGGGATGGACAGAGAGAAGTGGGGATTGAAGAAGATTCCCATGTCAAAGGAGGATGGAAGTTTGGATAGTGATGGTGAGGATGATGCAGAAAAGACAGTAGAAAAGGTTCGAGAAGCACAGAGAATTGTAGGTGAGCTGACCTGGCTGGTGACCAGGTGTCGCCCCGACATCATGTATGTCATGTCCAGAATTTCCAGATGGACCACCAGACGACCTTCCAAGGTCATTGCTGCAGCGCCTCAAATCTGGAAATACCTTGCGAATTCCATCCAAGAAGGGATTCGTTTTGGAGGAAACGAAGATGGTTGCCTAGACCTCCTGGTCTACACCGACGCGGCCTATGGAAATGAAGGCCACGGATGTTCCGTGGTGATGTGGCTGGGAGCTCCAATTTTGTGGCGAAGCTCGCGCCAACAACTTCAAACCGCATCCACAGCAGAGTCGGAGCTGTTGGAGATTTTGGAAGGAGGAGTTTTGGCCGAGGCAGTCAGAGTAGTGGTAGAAGAAATTTTGGAAAGGGCAGTGCGATGTTGGCAGTACTCGGATTCTGCCTCAGCCATCGCCATAGTTGGAGGCGACAGCGCGTCCTGGAGGACGCGCCACTTGAGGAAGAGGGCTCGCTACATGAGATGGCGGGTGCTGAGTGGAGATGTCATCCTCCGACACACTCCAGGCAACGGCATGATCGCCGACCTGGGCACCAAAGCTTTGGCGGCATTGAAGTTGGAGGAGCTGAAGAAAGCCATGGGCATGACAGATAGAAAGATCAAAACAGAAAAAGAAAAGGAAGATCTCGGTGTGGTGAGAGGGCCTACCGAAGAAAAAGAAGAGAATGGCGAGGTGAGAGAGCCGGCCATAGAGACGAAAGAAGTGAAAGGAGGGATAAAGTCCCCAAAAGATATGGTCAGGATGGCGATGATCATGGCCATGCTCAGCCGAGCGAGGGCCGAAGATGAAGATGGAGATGCAGGAGAGGAATCATCCATCTTCTTTGACATGATGATGGTATATACGATAGTGGTGGTGTTGGTCACGTTGGCCATTCAAAGCGGCTGGAAGCGACGACTGCTCAGGGCTGAGACGGCTGTGTGACCAGATCGGTCCCGCGGCGAACTCGCTCAACGGAGTGCCAGGACATCGGGTCTGATGACCGATGGTCCAACCTCCGTCCCGGGTGAGACGGTTCTGGGATTCGGTGGAGGAGACCAATCTCGGGACGAACTCCCCAGGGGAAGCAGTCAGTTGCTCGGGAGTGCCAGGACATCAGGTCTGACGTCACAGACTGGTGGTCCAACCTCCCTGCCGGGTGAGACGGTTCTGGGATTTGGTAGAGGAGACCAATCTCGGGACGAACTCCCCAGGCGAAGCGGCCAACCATCTGGGAGTGCCAGGACGTCGGGTCTAGCGTCACAGACCGATTGTCCAACCTCCCCGCCGGGTGAGACGGTTCTGGGATTTGGTGGAGGAGACCAATCTCGGGACGAACTCCCCAGGCGAAGTGGCCCACCACTAAAAGAAGAAAAGGAAGAAACACCAAAGGCTGTAAAAAGAGCCAAAAGTATGGGCCAGTCTTCTGCGTCCAAACAGGACGGACAGAAGAACACTTATGGCCAACCAGCTTCAAAACTGGAAGCTCCGCTACCAGAAGATCAAACAGCCTCTGCAGGAATCCAAGAACCAGCGATTCCCAAGGCGGCAGCAGAAAAGAAAGAAGTTGCTCCGCCACCAAAAGTTTTGCAATCAAAGTCAAAAGGAAAGAAAGGTGATGAAAAGAAGCCAAATGAAACGACATCAACAGGGATGACGCAGATCAGAACCGATCATGGTGCAGCCGAGCCAAAAGCTGCAGCTTCCTCATCCACCAGCACTGGTGCTCAGATCCCTGCGGATCCATCTTCCAGTGCTGCCCCATCGATTGACCTGTACTTTACAGGCCTTGGAAAGAAATATCACTTCCGAAAGGATTGCTACGGGTTGAGAAATTCACAGATGGTGCGACACACCGATATCTGTGAACAGTGTGTTCCTCAACCTCGCGGATGGCATCCTCGAGGGAGAGACATGTATGGAGCTGGATTGAATGGACCCCAGCACACCGATGTGACTCACTGCGAAAGAATGCAAGGATACTCCATTGCGTATCAGCCGTGTAATTGGTGTGCGAGGCCAAATGAAAGCGAAAAGTGAAAAAAGGTGCGATGACATGCAAAGTGAAAAATTTTGGAAAAGAAGAGCGGAAAAAGAACATCTGAGAGAGGGCTTGAGCTTTGAATGTAACACTGTCGTGCAGATGGTGTGAGATATATTTTGCTTTTTTCGTGTGACTGTGCCTCTAGCGAAACACAGTCAGGGGGTGTGCGAATTGCATATTCCCTATTTAGCATTCATGTCATGACTTTGCAATTGTCATTTCAATCAATGGGCATTTCACCATAGCCCTTTTTCCAAGCTCAAAGATCGGTCGGAAGACCGGTGAATCCAACGTGAAGGACTTTGGAAAGAGAGTTAAAAGCGCAGGACCACTTGTCTGACCGTGGAGGACTTTGTGTGTCTAACGCAGGGAAGTTTGAGGTGTGGACTAGTACCTGGCTTTTCTGGCCGCAGACGTGTCAGGACTGTCAGTGCTAGTACCCCCGATAATATTACCCGGGTGAACTTGTCGCGAACAAAAACCACCCATATATTGGGCATGATGTTCCCATTGACGAACTCATATTTTTCAGAGGGGTAGGTACACCACCAACCAGGTATAGCTATATGTATATGTATAGCATCGCAAACCAAAGGATGATTCCGGCCGATTCCAGCAGGGCTGTACCGTTTTTTTCATCGTACCTGGAGGGTCATCACGAAGTTGTGGCGAATAAGTTTGGTTCGTAAGTCCAAGTGTGTTCTCCCGTATCATTGCATTAAGTGGTTAATTATTTATAATTGGTTGTAACATGTTATAACTATTGTTACCAACTATTGTTACCAACTAATATTGTTACCAACTATCGTTACCAACTACGAGGACCGTGGAATGATCATGATCCTTACGTTCCCGGTTCTTTCCAGCGAGCTGCGCAGCTGAGCTGCACTTTTTCTCAGGACCCGTACGGTGGTCCAACCGAATAAGTTGTATTGGTGCCTGGGACTGCAATCCGATGGATAAATGGCTGGTACCTTCGGGCTTCCCGAAGTTCGTATTGGTTGCATACGGGGGACCATATGGGGGTTCTTGAGTATGGGGAAGGGATGAAAATTAGTAGCACGACATGATGCTAACATATGCATACATATGCTAAGAATATGTAAGGTAACTTAACAGTCATTTGCATTGCCTAGCTTAACTACAGACAAATAACTCATCTTCACAACAGGTTTAGTGGTCAAGATTTTTACCCTCAGTGACGTTCGTTGGTTTCTAAGCCCCACAAACGGTAGAGAAACACACACACATATATATATATATATATATATATTTATATATATATATCTATCTAATACCATAAACACTAGTTATTGGAGTTATGAACCAACTTAGCCAACTGTGGGGCACCACCTTGCATGTTCTGAGTTCCTTTGACTCTTCGATGGTTCACTTTTGAAGCTAAGCAATGTGTTTTGCATTGCCCCACCTGGTCATTGGGTCGCATCCACATCGTTATATATACCCTTTGGTTATTTAACATAGCCATGGGCCATGGTTAAAATGGCCTTTTTTCATAGGTAAATCATTCAACAACATCCATAAATGAGCCATGTTCCATGGCTATGTTAAATAACCTCAGGGTACGTTGCTAGGGTATTGGACCTTGACATCAGCATTGGCCAAATAAGTTTCCTGCTTGATGGTCTGATACCTGTAATCTCACCGGTCGTACATGAATGCCTAAACCATTCTTGTTTGAGGAAGAACACCCATCTGAAAAAAAACAGTCCGATGGTACGAAACATTTCCACTTTGCTGCATTGTGCTTTTCATTTCATGGTTTATGATTTATATAGCTTTCATTTTTACTATATGATTGCTGTTAAATGATCAATTTGTATATATACAATATGTGTTGATATTTTTGCTGTAAAGAAACCACCACACTACATATAAGATTGTTTGTTGTTCTCTTCAGATTATATACTGCGTATATAATATACATACAGATGTGAAAAACAGTATTAACACTACAGATGAGAATATGTTCATCATATGCTATAGACAATATATATATATATATATTATAAATACATATATATATATACACATAGCACCCACCAAAAAGACAGTGACATCACATCCACAAAAATCTTGATAAAGCACTCTCCTAGACTCATAGTTTTGTGGTTGCTATAGCAATGATCCGGAAAAGTGCAGGCAAGGCTATGGAAACCCGATGTGGAGCTATTTCCTTGGTCACTCAGCTACTCTCGGGGGATCTTTGATGGGCCTGGTGTTAGGGAAATCACCGAAGCCAGAGGAAGAATTGTTGGATGTCATTTTGCCGGCAAAAGTTATTGGAGTATGATGGTTTTCATGGGATTTCATGGGAAACTAATTAGGTTGACTTATTATGATTATTATCATTATTATTATATTATATATACTAGTACAGTATATTAGATATATATTCAGGTTATCATTACTATTATATTATACATACACTATATATATAGGTTAGGATTCTTAGCAGATATATCATGATGACAATCGAACTAGTTGGATGGGATCACCCGAAAAAAAATGCTCGGGGTGTCCTCGGGTTTCCTCAAAAAAATAAGAATTTGAAATCCACGAAATAACTATCATTCATTATCGGGAAATATCAGTCCGGTGGATTTGAAATTTGTGTTTTTTCTATTTTAAAAAATATTTAAGCATAAAATATGAACATATTTATCTATCATTAAGAGTATTTAAACTGTTCAGTCTGACTGAGATCTTCATGGGCAAATCAAGGAACGAAGGTTTAGATGATCCTCCAAGGGTGGTTTGTTGAGTTTGTTTCATGGAAAAACCACAAGATCTATAAAGGGATGATAACTAGGGCTACCCCCTAGTTTTGTTTTTTTTCGGAAACTGAACAGATTCGAATCATGACTTGAAAATTCTTTTTTGCACGTAGGCGTATTCATTTCGCTATAAGGCGCTGCGAAGAATTCCTAATGGAGAATGACCCGAATCGATGATTATGTACTATTGGGGCGCCGGTGGCTCAAGCACCAACCAATCGATGTGTTGTAACCGGGTCAACCTTGGACTGGATGCTTAGTTGCCATTTTTTTTAATTGGTGATATGTGCTAAGCAGCAAATATACACATTGACAGTAATTTAGTGTATTTAATATACATATCATATACACTTTCTGCGACTCTGTGATGTAACCAATTTATGTATACGTACTGGTATATGTACACAGAAATAGTTCTTTGTATTTTGTCGGGTAAAATTAACCAATGGTACGGTGGGAATTGGATACTTTTCTTCGCCTCGACAGGTTTGATTGGCCGAGACAGGGTGAACTTTGGAGGTGTTGTGGGCAATGCCAACGTGGGTTTGAATATGAGCCTTGGATCGAAAGGAAGCAGACCTTGCACTTATTGCCCTTTTACCAGTTTCGAGTCAGTGATCCCCACTTGAATGATACCGCCACTTATAGACATATATAGACATGCGTAACCATTTATGAGTGGTAAAGTTAAAGGGCTTTAACTGTAGCTGCTTGATGAGTGATTTCATGGCGATTTCATCATCAAAATATCGGATTTGTTCAATGGACTTTTATAACGAGAACAACATTAGTGGATTTCATTGCTTGATTGATGATGTTTGAGTAGCTATTAATGGGGTTGACCATCATTTAACAGACCTTAACTACTTGAGCAGAGGCTGCTAAAACCCAGTTTTTCATGTGTTTGTTCAATTTATTGTCTTGACCATCATTGTTTGGGTTTTAACTATAGCTGGTTGGTGGTTTGGAACATTTTTATGACTTTCCATATATTGGGAATGTCATCATCCCAACTGACAAACTCATATTTGTTCATATTTTTCAAGATGGTTTAAACCACCAACCAGTATGGGACTGCGGTCAAAACGTTGTGTTGATGAGTTAGATATCTGGGATTTTGTCATCAAACCCACACCAGGACTCTAGATCAGCTTCGGGAAATCCATGGCATGATGCATGTTCGTCATGCATGTTCCAAAAAAAGGTGGTTCCTAAAATGGGGAGACCCCAACAAAAACGATGGTTTATAAAAGAACATCCGATGAAAACGGATGATTTGGGATATTTGGGGGTACCTCCATTTCAGGAAACCTCCCTATCTACTAGTAACTATCTGAATTTACTAGGAGGTAGCCAAGGAGCCCGTCTTTTTCCAAAAGTATCTGGGATCACGCTATATGGTTCGATGGCGGTTTGCAATGAACGTCATCCTTTCGTTTTCCATGCGCTCAATAGCTGCTGCTGTGCTTTTGCTCTTTCCCGCTGGAACCACATCACACTAGCCAGTGGAAAAATCACTGGCCTGCACTCATACATTGACGATTTTTCGGATGGTTCAGCAGAATTGAAACGTCCTTAGTTTTCTTGAGTAAAGCAAAGGAAATCACCGTCAATTAAGTCCCATGTTCACGAGGTCCCATGTTCACGATTTATCGGTTCCACCAGCTACCTTTGAACACATGCTGGTGCTGACCTCTTCCCAAGACCGGATTGAAAGATTCACAAATTCATTAATCATCTGGTGCCCAACCCCCAGGCTGCCTGAGTTGTTCACTAAATAAATGAATAAATGAATAAGTATATGAATAAGTAAATAAACATATGTCTATATATATATAATATCTATAGTATAATCTATAATATATAGATAGGCAGCAGTGGCCGGCCATTCGAGCCGTATGGCTGGCTTCAAAATCGGCAGATGAACTCAAGAAAAGGAAATGGGAAAACCAATGGTATGAGGCTCGAGGTACCTGTATCCCATATGCTCCATGTATGGAATATTTACCTACATTTGGTTGATTTTTAGGGAAAATGTTGGTAAATATTCCATACATGGAGCATATGGGTATTTTAGGAAACCTCCATATGCAAAACAAAGCAGCTCACAATAAAAGGAATGCCACAGAATTTGACTCCAGTTGGTGGGAGACGCAGTTCAGTAATGGGATCGAAAAACACCAGCAGCATCAGCACGCATCGTCTTCTCCAAGGATGGGCAATGCGCCGATGGGGAACACGTTTGATTCAGTCCCTTGAAACGCAGTTTGTTATTGAACAGCTAGCCAGCTTGTCAGCTTGTCAGTCTTCCTTTAAAACCAGCATGGGAATCCGTCGACATGGAAAGTGCAAGTTTGACCCTAAAAACAAAGTCTCTGTGTGTGTGTTTGCAGGTCACTCTGAGAAGATTTAGCCGGGTTTCTGATGAGGTTTATTTGGGTTTATTTGGGCAAGTCTCAAAAGATCAGGCCCTACATGCCATGTTATTTGCTTAACTTATTAGCAACATATTGGCTGCAGCTCAAAATGTAAGGTTCCGATCCATACCCCGGGACCACATGCGATCCATACCCCATGATCCATACCCATGATCCATACCTCAGTAATTGCAAATCCTGGGCATGTATACTGTATAGATATAAACCCTACAACGACCTCCGGGATGACTTTGAAATGGCCTCCCGCTACGACACCAATCTTTCTGTAGCATCTCTGATTGGATGGCGAACCCCTGAAGTCAATGGGCCGAAGGGCCGAAAACGGGTTGCCGGGCTTGGCATTCTTATGGATCTTGCCGGGCTGGTGTTGCAACGGTATACCCTCTGCTCAGCATAGCTATGGGAAATGGCTCATTGATATGAAGTTTTATGATGTTTTATCTGTTGAAATTTGGTGATTGTCCATCGCATTATGTTGAATTAAGCATAGGGCATAGGGCGTATCATTGTTTTCTTTCATATCTTTCACCCCAGTAAAGGAACATGATTGATTCATCCTCAGTGTAGTTCATATTGGTCCAAGTTGATGGACAGCCATTGATTTTGCGGTTTCCATTTCAGTAGATTTCCGCATTTTGCAGTGCCGGTGCATACCCTTGCATTGTCACACCTGCATAATTTGTTTCTGAGAGCTGTGTTTGTTTTTCTCAAGTTTGGTTCTCATTGCATTTTACTGTTTGTTGAACTCGTTGTATCCGTCTTATGAGACAAATTTAATTCCAGCACATGAATGAATTGCAGTTAAAGCCCTTTACCAGATATAAGTCAGTAAGTCACCCCCTGTATGGAATGATCACCCCATGCCCATTTTTTCATAGCTGGTAACGCCGCCAGTCAGATTCGCGACATCCGAGGTCACATCGGATTCAGGGATTCTTGGCCTTTTACCAGGATGCTTCTCGGACAGCTGCAACGGGCCTGAGGACTACGATGAGCCTGGGCGGAGAACAGGGGTGGTGCGGTTATTGCCCCATAATACCATTTTTTGTTGGTTATAAAATGGGAAAATCATTCTGTAAATGTGGTGACTTACTGACTCATGGCTGGTAAAGGGCTGTAACTGTGTGCAAGCCTAGGAAGTGTTTTCGGATTTGCTTATTTATACTTCAAACTTTGCAGTCCACAGTTTACACTCCCCAATCCCCACTCCACACTCCACTTCACACTCCACACTCTATACCTTACATTTACACTTTGCAGTCCGGACTTCAATCTTACACTCTACACTCTACACTCTTCACTCCACACTTCACACTCCACACTTCACACCCTACATCTCACACTCCACACTTCACACTTTACACTTCCCAATCTCCACTCCACTCTACACTCCACACTCCGCACTGCACACTCTACACAGTAAATTCCCTGCTAAACACTCCACCGTTTAGATTCTACACTTCTCACCCCACATTCTGCACTCTACCCCATTCCACACTCCACAGTCTACACTGGTACGATAACAGAGGAAGAATGTACAAGACTGTTGCAATAACTTGTCTCGCAAAAGTGTTTTACGTGACTTCATTCGGGTTCGTCGGTTGTTTTTGTTAAATTAGGGAGGCTTTTAACGACTTTTAGGTGGTTGGTTTCATCAACAGTTTCCAGTCAGATGGATTTTTCACCCTTGAACTGCCCATTTTGCTCCATTTGTAGCGGCCCCAAGGTGAAAATGTGAAAATGTCCTGTACCAAAAGAATAAATCAACAAAAAGTTCCAAGAACTAGGTTTTTGCTCCTCAAATCTACAAACGAAGTGAGTTGAGGACTTGCTGACCACTTTGGCACGTGAAGGGAAGATGAAACGGGCCTTCACCATGTGTTTCAACAACGGCTCCTTGGAACGATTGGAATCAAAAAATTCGGCGGTTGTTTTTGATCGGAATTCAGCAGCAATAGGCCAAGGAAATGGCCTTGAAGATGGTGTTTTTTGACTATCCTTTTGGAGTTATGAGGGGGGTATGTTCATGAAAAAGACATGAAGTCCTACTTGTCCCAAATATGTTCAACATAGATATAGAATGATTTAGATGGTACTATATCAAACTCGTGTCAGACACACTTTGGGGGGTACGAAACGCCAGCGTTTTTTGGTCCCACAAGGGCATCATTGGTAATGGATGCAATCGTGTTGCTGTTCGGCTGTTCGCCGGGAAGAACACATGTAGGAATTTGATATATTTGATCGGAGATTGTTGCCTCGTGTTTCCTGCAGTTATGGCCCTTTGCCAGTTGTAAGTCGGTATGTCACCTCATTTCAGGCATGATAACCCCATCTATAACCAGTTATAACTGGTTTCAAGGATTTTCAAGGGCTGTGTGAGTCTCAATTGTTGCGGTTTCATTCATGACGATACTGAGCGCTGAGATTGTAGTCGGGCACGCTAATTGCTTCTGGGAGATTGTTCAACCATTCCAACTTTCAGCAGGGGACAACCCTTAGGTGGGTCATGGGATTGGCCCTCTGGTTAGTTACTTGGTCCTAGATACCATACTATGTATGTGTATATATATATATATTGTGTATATTATATATGTATATTATACATGTATATTATATATATATATACACATTATCTATACATATATATTTATATATACATATATTATGTATTATAATGTATTATACATATATCCAATCATAATCCATATAAGAACTAGTCAACCAACTCCATCTCCCATCTAAGTACCAAACAACCCCCAAAACCCAATCTAGAATTTCAGTTGTCCCCACCGGTTTCTAACGAAATCCTACCCCACATTTATAGGGCCACGGCCAGAAACCTGCGCCGCGCAGGCCCTGATGGTGGAGGGAACCTTTATTTGGGCCACTTGGAAACGAATCTCCGGAATGGAAGGTGTGCACAGAAGTGGTTATTCAGGAGTACAACTGAGTACAGCCACAATAATTAGACAAAAGTTAGGATATGGCCTTCTCACACGCACACACACACACACACACGCACACATATTCAGTGGAAAAGCACCCTCAAGTTGGGTGGCTTTATGCCGGGTGAAATCCATGGCGCATATGACCGACCAAAAAACAATGGAGAAAAACGGCTTTGACCCTCCAAGTACCATCAAACATGGGTATTATACTGCACAATTTCAATGTGTTTACCAATCTTGATGTGTGACTGGAAGGTCATTCGGAATGCTGCAACACTTTAAGGGGCATTGTGTGTTGTAATGAAGAATTTCTTTCCCAAAAAAGCTTCAAAGATGAATGCATTTTCCAATTGAAAAGGCATCTTGAAAATGGCATGCGTTTCTCAAAAGTAATGCTGCAAGACTTCAAGGAATATTTGCTAATTTCTCATGAAAAAGTTTCAGCAACAAATGATAAAAAAAATGCATGTCTCTAAAATATCTAATGTCCATCCTATGTCAAACAGTAGTGCATTGGCACTGTTGGCATGGAGCCTCATCTACAAATGCCTCCTGTCATCTAGCAAATACCTCCTGTCATCTGGACAATGGTTGGTTGGACAAGGGAATGGGACAATGGTGTTTATAAACACAGCATTCGTTTATAAACAGCAGCACACAGCACACGGGGGGGGGGCAGCCAGGAGTCTTGAGAAGGGGGGGGAAGACAACACAACCACCAACCCCCCTCCCCCCTCCCCCCCCAAGCTAGACGTTGTGAAGTTCTTATTGTTTAACATACCAAGTTGATGAGCAAAGGCATTGTTTATAAACAAAGCCCTTGTTTACAAACAGGTTGTGCTATATCGTTGGCAAGCATATTTTTTTTTTGCAAATTAAGTTGGCAGTGGTTTTGTTTATACCAACTGATTAGGAGTTAAACCACTATATGAGGAATTACATGGGCTCGAAGTGCGTTTTCCAACCAAGAGCAACATATCATAACAAACCCAAAACATGCTTCCTAAGGGGCCGGAAAACGCACCGAACCCATATGTATCTGTATATATATATATATATTTGATCACATGCCATCGGTGGCGCTTGGGTGCGCTGCTAGACCGCTAGACCTGCAAGGTTTCATGCAGTGGTTTAGGTTCCACAATATTAATGTGGGCAACCCAGTAATAAACCTACCATTTGGGGATGGTGTATACCACCCATTTGTTGTGATTTTGCTTGACAGTTTGTTAAAGCTGTTGAAGGTTCATCTAACCTAGTATCAAAAACACATTTGCTCTTCATCAACTTTTGACATAAACATAAAAAACATCAACCATGTATAGATAGTTTCCTCCGAGATCGTGGGTTTTACCTCTCCTCAGAATTAGAGGTCCATGGAATTTGCGGTCTTCCGGAGCCAGGAAAGCCAGAGGTGCCCAAGGATGCCACGATCATCAGCATCTCTGGAGATAGTTGAGCAGTGGCTGCGTTTGACATTGGTTGATGATTAGGTGGGGGGTTGAGCTCTACTACTTTTGCAAGATTTGGTTAGAGGGGATTATTGCAGATAATCCATGAACTGGGGGAACCTCTGTCGACAAAAGAATATCTGGATAACCGGATAATCGATTGGCTGGCTTGGATCATGATCCAGTATATCCAAGCTAAGTTGACGCAATTCTAACCTGGTTGTTTATGGGAATATCATGAGCTAGTTATATAATGGGGTTCATAGACCAACTTATAACCAGGGGGCATCGGCTTGTAGTCAAAATACACAGTCTTGTGATAGATGTATTTACTGTAATTCGCAATAAGTTTGAAAACACAAACACCAATGTATTGTGTGTGTGTTTGCCTTGATATGTTTTTAGCGCCGTTGCTGTGAAAGACTGTAAAAGAGATATCGCCAAAACGAACACAATTGTTTGGATATTTTGTCCAACATCATTCGCAGCGCACTCATAAATTTATGTTAGTCTTAGTGTATGTTGTTAGTATACATGAACATTGAGCTAGTAGACCTCTCCGCTACTGCAAGTGCCTTCACTTAATTTCGGGGGTACTTTCAGGGCAATTTTGCCTTTCCACATCGCCTATCGTAGGAAACAAGGGATATCGATTCGAAGACTTTTAGGGCATACCCTCTGGTAAACTAACATAACGATGGAGAATTACCATAAATTACCATTTTTCATGGGAAAACTCACTATAAATGGCCATTTTCAATAGCTATGTTAAATTACGGGAGGGTAAAGATTCCACGTTGTGTTTGATCGCTTCAGGCAGGCCTCTTGACTTGGATCAACCCAACAAAGAACAACATGACATATGCTGGTTGGTGGTTTTTGAAACCATTTGGATTATTTCCATGTATGGGATGTCAATGGATGTAATCCTTCCCATTGACTCTAATATTGTTCAAGATAGTTCAAACATGTTCAAAGTACCAACCAGTATGGGTAGACTCGGCCTAGACGTGTTTTTTTTTGTATCCGAACGTCGGGTCATTTCATTGGTGTCGCTGGTGGAGCTGGCAGCTCGAGCTGCCCTGCGTCCACTAAGGTATGGCACCCATGAACGGGCAGCAGAACTTCTACTGCCCCATGTGCCTGGGAAAGGTTTAAGCAACCAGGGAGAACGGGGCATCCCCCAAAGAATGAATGAAACGGCGATAAAATCGTGCTAAACGATGGTGTTTCTATGTTTTTTCTTGGTCCGTTAATTCCTGCAAGTCAGCATCAAAGTGGTGACCAAGGAGAGAAGGCGCACCCAACAGTGGAGCTATGTTTACCAACCTACTGTAGCGAATTATGGGGCACCATCTCGTAGCTGTCAGATTGTCCAAGTTTCTCCTCTCTTCATATACGGATTTTCGGGAATTTTCTGAGTATGACTGGGTTGAGTCAAACCAAATGCATATACATCCCAGCTGGGAGTGATCTTGAGTGATCATTTGTTCTCAATATATCTCAATATGAGGAAGGTTCATTGAGGCAAATTCAAGGATAATGTTCCGTCCTGATTTGTGTGTGTACCCCCCTCAAACCAATGCTATACCCTCTTTACGGTTGAGTTTTAAAAGCCGTTCCCCAGGTAAAGTATGATCATACATTTAAGGAAGGATTTAAATTGGCGACAATTGATTTTTGTTTGCCGGTGAACTTCCAGTATGTGTAGTACTGGTAGTGCTTGTAGTACTTGTAGCACTTGTAGTGACTGGGGTTCAGCATGTTGATTGCGTTACCTTTTGCACCTCAAGTTTTTGTTTTTCAAGTTATAATAAGAGAAAGAGGAAGAGAAAAAGGAAGAGGAAGAGAAAGAGAAAGAAAAATATGAAGAAAAAGAGAAAGAAAACGCGAAAGAAAAAGATACAGAGAAAGAAAAAGAGAAAGAAAAAGAGAAAGCAAAAAACAAGAAATAAAAGGAAAAGAACAAGTGAAAGAGAAGGAGAAGGTTGCTTTTGTTAAAAGGTTTTTCTTTCTTATCTTGGCTCCGGATCTTGGTAATTTGTGAACAATTTCTTCTTTGAGCTTTTAAAAAGCGATCTGGTTCTTTTGGGAAGGACAGAGCAGCAATAGTTTTACCAGAAAAAATGTGAAGTGTTTTTTTTACACACACATACACAAACTTTTTTTGACAACAAAATGGTCAGCCTTAAAAAGTCGTGCCACAATGTGGTGAAATGTCCAGCCACAAATCATGGGGTCTGAATAATTTGGAAACTTCTAGCCACAATAGCGAACCTAGCCGACCGAATCAGGATGCAACATGTCTTCAAGAAATTTCCTACACATGTTTGACCTTCCTCTATCTCATAAAAAATTGAAAGCGCCCCTCCTCCCACGCAAAACACAGCGGCGACCGGCACACACCACGGGGATAACGCGCGACGACAACAACCAGACCCAACAGAGAGTCACCAAATGCGGTGCATGCTGCCAAAACGCAGCTTTACCTCGGAGATAAGTTTGAGAGACATATTTAAGTTTGAGATAAGATTTGATAGAGACAAGCTGGATAGAGATTAGTTTGGTAGAGATAAACAATTGACAGAGACAAGTTTGACAGATAAGTTGGATAGAGACAAGTGACAGAGACAAGTCATACGGAGGACGTGGGAGGACGCCCCCAACATTGGGATCCAACTGGCTGATGGTTGATCCAACTGGGTTGCCTTGGCTGATGGCTTGACACAACTTTTCAATTTGGATTCATGAAACGTATAGAATCAATGTATATCAATGTTGTAAACCCAAGAACAAACATGAACACACCATCCGCACATCCGAGGTCCGTTCTTGTTGTTCTTGTTCTGGTTGTTGCTGTTGGAGCGACTCACGGTTGTAACCGCAGTCCTGGGATTTTTGGCTGTCCAGGTCAAGTTTCGATAGCCAGGAAAATGTGGCAACGTGGCGGCAGAGGTGACGACAAGAGCACGATTTGCCCGAAGTCTTTGGGGAAGATCCCATAAGATATCCCATGACTGCAGGCCCTAGGCCCTAGAAACCACTTAGCTTTATGGTTACAATTTGGGTCCATTTCCATGGGATTATTTCACTGACTTATGACTAGGTACTAGTCAAGGGCTTTGACTGTGATGACTATAGTGAATGAATTTGTTGAAACATGAGGGCTTTTCCAAACAATTGCTGCATAGTTTTTTTGAGGAAAGGGTAGACAAACATGTTGAAGCCTTCGTTGGCTTTGGATGGCTTCATGCAAGCAAATGTGATTTATCTACTCTCAGACAAGTCTCAATACTGTACCGCACACAAAAGGAAAAGCACGGGAAAACCATGATGACAAAAGCCAAGCAGAGGATGAACAACACGTTTTTGTGAGGATTGTCAAGACCAAACTGGAGCTTGCAAAATCACGCAAGCATAGATGGGGGTGGAACGATTTGTTGACATCCACACTGACAGTGGACCGTGGGAGGAAGGGAAACCCCAACAATATAAGATATATAAGGAAGATCTTGTATTCTGAGAAGAAGACCATACATGGGTTCTATAGCAAACTAGCTAGTTTCGCTATAGAATGATGATCAACGCTCGATTTTTTGAGGTACTCTGTTTGTGCTTGAAACGATGATGATCGAGCCCAGGCAGTCAAGGTATTCTATAGTCCAAATCCATTTTCATGTTCATCAGGTTCAAGGTATCTGCATTTGAGATGATTAGAGTCTGAACTGAACCAAAATCAAATCGCAAAATGCTAGCGGATTCATATTCATCTCCCATATTTGCCCCTTCCCGGGGGCTATGTTCACAAAAAAGATGCGCATCGATCGATTCGACGCCAAGGAGTTCTTGTTCGGTGACGTGAAGGTGGGGTCCCAGAACGCCGGAGAGTGGAACGAGATGATGATGAACCATCAGTCATTCTCTGATACCGGTACCTCGGAGACAACCAGATTTGTTTTGAGGGCGACTTCAGGGTGACTTAAGCGCTGAAACTTGGGATCTACATGACTCTAATGAGTTCGGTTTATGGGTAGAGATGTTAAGATATGTATAATACTATATGCCATTCCCCTTGCAAGTGGCACTTTTCCCAGATCAAAGTGGCACTTCTGGGTTAGTGGAAGAATCAGGTAGTTTTATACTGTTACTGCAGCCGCTGATCTCAAAGATGCCGCGGCGATATGTTTTGTCCTCCTCAAGCGATGAAGATGGCTCGCTGGAAAGTTCCGAACAGTCCAGCTCTTCTGAGGAGGACTAATTCTAGATTAGGGACTCAGTCATATTTTTGGTGTCAAGAAGCCCCAAGTCAATCTGAATTGTGTAAGCGCTCCGGTTCACTAGGAGGTGAAGCTCAATGAACACCAAAGATCTTATCTGGATATAGGCAACCTTTTCTTGACTCGAAGTGGATGCTTGGCAAAAACTGTTTGAATTCAATGATGTAATGCAACGATGTTTGAACTCAAAGTATGTCAAATGTCTCACCCGTGGTGTATGCAAGCTTTAGGACTGTCCAAGTGGATTGATGAATTTCCGGGCGACTTCACTTTTGCCAGTGATTGCCGCTGGCCTGCAAACCGTCATATTCCATTTAGAATTTACCTAAATCGATTTTGGTTTGGAATTCAAGGCAGCGGAGCTGATACTCCATGGCAAGCTTTGGAGATGCTTTTTGAAGCAGCCCAAAAGAAGAACCATCTCCGCTATTTGCTGGGTTCTTAGCCCACAGGGTTCATTTTTTTTCTCTTCAACCTTGAGTTCCCAACCATCCTCAACCCTTTTTCTCCAGACTCTATTTCTGGAAGTTGAGGTCTGCAAGTGAGATTCATCAGGCAAAACGCAGATTCCTGAGGAACTTTGAATGTAAGAAGTTTCTTGCCTGATAATGTTTGTGTTGGATTCCTATAGACCAATCGAAACCTATTATTGATTGAAGACTTTAAGGTTGTCGAGCAACCTGTTCACGAACAACGTCAAGTGGCTGGTCAACCTCCTATGTTGCTACATTTGTGGGTTCCCGTGTACCCCATACTCGTTTCTTCATGTTGGAACACAGCTGCTTCAAGACCCCAACGCTCGACAGCTTTTCCGCATTTTGCGGAACTGCCGACAAGTTCGTCCCGCAGTGACTAGGCTTGTTGCTATCAAAGATGTATGATGATGTATGATTCTTTCTGATGTATGTACGTGTGTGCACCAACTCATAACTCTTATATCAAGTTTGAAAAAATCAAGTATCTGAGATCATCTTGCTGGAGAACGTGATGGGCTTTGAGAGGGTTCTAGACCGTATCCTTAGCCTGATTCGACGGAACTTGGTCGGGTATCTTGCCAGAATCACGTCTAATCTAGTCCATGAACAAAAAAAGACAAGAAACAGATTTGAGAAGTGTGTGCTTCACAGTACGTATGAGGTATGAATGTGCGGTAGTCCGTCTCTCACCGCATCTTGGCCAACTTATATTTAGCAAGACATACTGCCTATATAAATCGATATATATATATATTGAATATACCATATCTTATTTAACTGTATTTACATTTATAAAGATATATTCAAGGCAGACTATACAATTCTGACTATACATAATATTATATATAATATTAAATAAATATATATATATATATATCATACTATATATATACACATAATAATACAAACATTGCTGTATATATTAATTATACATATATTTTTTGTAATATACATATTTAAGATAAAATACCTACAATATATGTTTATATATAAATATAGATATTTTCTATTACAAATAACAAAAATAATATTTAATAAATACTATATATATAAAATCCATATTATGTAAAATAAACATGATATACACAAAATATATTCTATAAATAATGTAAATGGTATACAGTATATATTTTTTAAAAAAAATCTTAAACATATTTTGTAAAATACACTTTATAAAATGTTTAAAAAATAAAAAGTTTTTCAAAATAAATATGATGTGCATATTATATCAAAACACATTATATATATATCATATTTAAAATATAATGTATAAATATGTTTTATTAAATATTAAATGTTTAGCATATTCAGTTTTTAGCATATACAATAAATAATATATATTTAATATTTACAATATTTAAAATATATTATTCCCCACCTGCCAGGTGAGGGTTGTTAGGTTTTATAAGAGCAGTTCTCCTCATCCTCATCCGCCTCCTCCTCTTCCTCCTCCTCCAGTTTTTCCTGGACCATGTCTGCATCAACTTCCACGTCCACTTCCGCCTTGCCAACTCTTCGCCAATCTCTTCGCCAACTTCCGCGCGCAGTGGGCACTGTTGCACCTCAACTGCCGGCTTCCGCCTTGCCAACTCTTCGCCAATCTCTTCGCCAACTTCCGCGCGCAGTGGGCACTGCTGGACCTCAACTGCCGGCTTCGGCCTTGCCAACTCTTCGCCAATCTCTTCGCCAACTTCCGCGCGCAGTGGGCACTGCTGGACCTCAACTGCCGGCTTTGGCCTTGCCAACTCGTCGCCAATCTCTTCGCCAACTTCCGCGCGCAGTGGGCACCGCTGGACCTCAACTGCCGGCTTCCGATCTGAGTGGGCAAGGCTGGACCTCAACTGCAAGGTTCTGAGTGCAGTGGGTACCTCTGGACCTCAATCAGGGACCTTCCGAGCCCAGTGGGCACCGCTGGACCTCAACGACCAGATAGAATGCCAGAAGATATGCCAGATAGAACGCCAGATAGCATGTCAGATAGAATGCCAGAAGATATGCCAGAAGATATGCCAGATAGAATGCCAGAGGATATGCCAGATAGAATGCCAGAAAGTATGCCAGATAAAGTGCAAGAATATTTGCCAGATAGAACGCCAGAAGATTTACCAGATAGAATGCCAGATAGAATGTCAGAAAATATGCCAGAAGATATGCCAGATAGAGTGCCAGAAGATATGCCAGGTAGAATGCCAGAAGATATGCCAGATCGAATGCCAGAAAATATGTCAGATAGAATGCCAGAAGATTTGCCAGTAACAAAATGTATAAATGTCATGGTGGGGATCACACGAAGTAAAGTAATTATATATATATATAATATTTAAAATATATATTATATGTAAAATTTAAAGTATATAATACATATAATTTATTTAAGTTTTTGCTTGTATTATCATGTATATATAATCTTTTTTTATATTATATATGATCTGGATAATATATATATATTTATCAAGTATATAACATTTAAATAATATGTATGATATATGTACAATATATATTGTATATACATATACATATATATTGACCGCAGATTCCTCTTAGCCACCCATCTAAGTCTAAATTAGTATCCTCTTCCTTTGGAACCCTACGAAGCAGTTTGGCGCCCCGCTATCGCGGCAACGCCTCTACATCTTCATCATCCGCGATGATGTTTTGGTTGAGGGGGCTCTGGGAGGAAAGTTTGAGCAATGCATCATTGACCAGTTGTCTTCCCTCAGAATGGATGTTGAGACCACTTGGCTACTCAGCTGACAGTCGGGTTGCAACGCAGCTATAGTTCCAATCGAAGTGCAACGACAGACTGCCTCTAGTTATCAAATCCCCCAACTATAACTTTTGAATGAAATGGACAACCAAGGGACAAACTCCTTCTTCCTAATGACGATCCTTGCGTTCAAGCAGATATTTACCGCCGTCACCAGCTTCAGCAGAAGAACCGGCGAACGATACTAGGCTCAATCATGTGTACAGAAAGGCATACAAGCGCATCCCGTATAGTAGTTCAATCATTTTTGATCAGTATTATGTTTTTCGTGTTTGAGGCCGGTCAATCCCAATGCTAAATGGATTGCTCGTCATCAAACCTGGGCTCAAGAGCGACGGGCAAGACTTTGACCAGAATTTACAATGTGTTTTTTCAAAACAATCTGGAACAATTTATTCCATGCCTGTTTTTGGAAGGTGGACATTGGCCAAACTGCTGGCCTCTTTGCTTCACGATACCCACAAGCTGCGCTTAGTGTCACAACCCGAAGGGAAATGCAGGCCCTATGTGAAACTGGAGAGTGTCAAAAGAATTGTTTATTCATCACATTGTTTGCACCATATATATATATATGCAATGGCTACCAGCCAGGCTCTAAATCTCCTATTGGGCTACAAGAAGGATGTTGCACTGGCAGACACGTCTCAGAACTTGGGAAGTTTGCCAAACATCACCACGAAGGACAGACCCATGATGTGCTTAACGCCAGGTTCTCAGTTGACAATCTTAAGAAAAATACGAGTTGGGACAAATTGGATATCTTGATTATGAATCTTTAGTTGGCAATCTAAAGAGACATACTTTTTGGGACCAAATGGATATCATTATGTTTCATTATGAATTTAGTTGACAATCTTAAGAGAAATACTTTTTGGATTTTGAATATTTAGTTGACAATCTTGAGAGAAATACTTTTTGGGACCTTTGGATACCATGATTCATTATCAATATTTAGTTGACCATCATAACAGAATATACCCACATAATCACAGGCCAGATTCATCCAGCAGCGGCCGCTTGTGTGGCTGCACGCTGGACTAGAAACATAAGAGACATACTTTTTGGGACCAAATGGATATCATGTTTCATTATGAATTTAGGTGACAATCTTAAGAGAAATACTTGTTCGGACCAAATGGATATCACGATTTATTTTGAACATTTTGTTGGCAATCTTAAGAGAAATACTTGTTGGGACCAAATGGATATCATGATTCATTATGAATCTCTTTTGTTTGGACCATCTTGCCTTTAAGGCCCCAGGGGCGATTCCTGTCCTTCGTGCACCAGCGGTACATCACTGGCCGGGAAACATGTCTTCTTCAGGGCATGCCCATTCATCGTCTCAAACTCTCCAGTGTCTCAGAGAACGCATCCCAGCTGCATATGGCTTCCGTCGGTGTGATCCACATATTGTTCCGTGTAAAATGAACTTAAGGTGATGTCTCGACATGTTCAAATCAGGTACTCCAATCTCTGGCTGGCAACAGCATGCACATGAGATGCATTATGGCTGCCATATGTGCGTCGCTCAAAGTTGTGTCCCCGCAGAAGTTGTACACCAATTTGGACTTGGACTTGAACTTTTAATTAGAGCTGTCAGATGAGAAAAAAGAAGTGTGTTGGTATGTGATGCATAGAACGAATAAATTGAGCATGTTCATCTCTGAAAAAGACAAATATGTTTGTGTACCTGTACCTGTTTGATTCTGTGCCTAGATCATTTTAGATCGAACCTCAATGTGATGTGCTGAGCAGCTTATGTGACGTGATGCCACTTGGCCGATGGAATGATGATGAAGATAGTTCTTCATGTGGTGGGTGTCAGAGACCAGCAGCTGGCAATCGCCGACGGTATGATCCTACTGAAAGTTCTGAACCTGAGTTCCTTGAATACAATTCAGCACAATGCAGTACCTGGTGCAAGTACATGCCATCGCACACACCATCAAACATTCACAAAATTTATGTTAGAAAGATTCTATTTCCTCTTAGCCAGTTTAGGATTTATCCCTCATCAACCTGGCCCAGGGCTTCTGTGAATGACTCTGGCTCAGAATCGCTCAGCTCAGACTCAGATGCTGGATCAGATGCGGAGCAACTGACCTCGGAGGTGGTGGAGCTCTCACTGCAACGCTTGCAGTCACTCCATGCTACTCAAAAGGGGTCCGTTGATGAAGTCAAGAACAAGTATGCCGAACATGGTATGTCCAAGTCAAGGCTGAAGAATGTTCTGAAAAACCCACCATGCCAGTGTCAATGCAGCTTACCCATACGGGTCTTGATGATGATTACCCAAGCTTTCTGGCGGCTAACCAAACCAGCTCAAGACTCCCTCCTTTGGAGTTTGCAACATGAAGTGGGTCCAGGTAGAAAACGTTGGTCCATGCAAGGGTACCCTCTATGCAAAGATGCCTGGGCTACCTTCTTGGGGGTGGGAAAGCATAGACTGAATCGGTGCAAGAAGCGGTTCCATGGAAAAGATCTCAGATCTATTTCTGGTCCTGGTGGAAACTAGCCTGAATTTCTGAATCCTGCAATGTCCAACTGCCTGCTTATCTCAGTCCCCTTTGTTCCCCAGCTGTTTGCCTTCTGCCAGCCTCTCAGGACCGAACGCTCGCCCAGCTTTGAAGACTGCATCGGCTACGTCCTTCTTTGTGCACATGTACTGGAGTGCTGGGGAAACGACGGCGGTCCTGTAACTTTCCCAAATTAAAGCTTCAATGTAACATTCTGGAATAACCAGTCCATTGCATAACAATAATATGTGTCCATGACGTTTATGATGATGTAACCCAACATTTTCGGCATCATTATTGCACCAAGGGACCACCCAAAGTCCTTGCTGGAGATCTCAGATGAACAGCTACGGGAAAACCTATTAGCTCGTCTCATTGATGCCAAGCTTATGGGCCCTGGATTGCAAGTGGGATTCAACCATGACCCAGAGGGGCTACCGGAACGAAAGCTACCACATGGGAACTTTGCAACGCTTTACATTATGTATGAATCATTTTGCAAGGCAGCAGGGGAGGAGCCTGCCTCTCGTACTGTATTCTACCAAGTTGGAAAACGTTGGAAGGTATGCTTACGTTTCCACAAGCCTTCTGTTCATTCCAAGTGTTGGACTTGCTCCACTTTGAAAGCTCGCATTGCAAATGCAATTGAGCCTTGCATGCTGTGTGTATTCATCATTACGTTTTTTTTAGGTGACCAAAAGCAAAGGTCTGCAACATCTTGCAGGGGGTTGGCTCATTCTTGATGTAACATATACATCATTCCTGCAATCTGAGGACTTTCAGGAGCACACTCGCCTTGCAGATGAACTTCTTTTTCATTACAGTCAACAGTGGAAGGACAGGCAGGTCTACTGGCTAGCGCGAAGTCGCTCCAGGACGGAGAGAGACATGATGACAATGATCATAGATTCTTTTGATCATTGCAAGCTGATGTTACCGCGATTTCCCAACCGGCGAAGCCCTAAATCCTCAGTCTACGAAACAATCAAACGAGCCCTGGATGAAACATAGTGGTTGTAGGGTGATTTGTTTAAAAGTATTATAGTCAGATAATGTTCAGGCAGATCTTATTGAACTGATGGCCTCAGGAACCTCAATGACCCTCACTTGTGCCATATGCCACGGATGGGGCATATACTTTTTTTGGCTGATGAAGGCCTCCCACAAGGGTCCAACTGGACGCTTGAAGTTGCATCTTGGCTAAGTGTTGCTGCTTCCGCGTCTAAAGGGATGCCTTTTCCTCATCCTGGCTTTAGGCGATGAAAGCGATTGACTACGCATGGTCATACTGTCGCCGCCTTGGGAAGCAGTTCCCTTCAGAGTTGCTTGGCCTGACTGCGTTCGTGGGCTCATTTGGGCGCACTAGTTTCAAAACTTGTTGAGGCTGTGGTTACAGGCAGACAACGCCTGCAAAGAGGTTCGTAACTCGTCTGTGGGCCAGCTGGCATGCTTGCTATGCCAAGCTCAATTTTTCACAACGGTGACACAAGCTCATTTACAAGTTGGTCACACGCATGAGGATGTAGGCTGGAATTTACTGTTACAAACAAAAATGTGTTCAGTCCAATACACTTACCTGATATTTGCTGGTGTTGATATCCCTGCAGATGCAGCACTGGCTGTGGTGACCTCCGCTCTTAACGGAACTAGTGACATTCAAACTCCTCGAGACCTTCAGAGGCTTGGTGCTAGGATGTTTGTGGTTGTGGGCATGGCGCACTTGGTGTTAGCATCCCCTTTCAGTCTTTGACAGGGCGATAGAAGCTCGAGTTGCTCCACTCTTCCGGTCGTATGGAATGGAATGTGTGGCAGAGATTGTTGACACCGTGTCTTTGAATTGGTTATTTCATGTTGAACACAAAGAATGTCAACACTACGTAGTTAAAGAATAATATCTAATATAATATCTCGTCTTTGAATTATGTTCATCTAAGGCGAGAGATTGGAACCACTTGATGCCTGGCTGCGTCTCTCTTTACAACGCGTACAAAGGGAGAAAACAGAAGCCAGGTGAAGAGCTAAAGAAAGTCCCACAAATGTTTACTTTTCTGAGGCGAGAAGGCAGGGCATATTCCAAAGTGTACTGCTATTGGATTTGTTTTCATTTTTGTGGTATGTCAAGTTGCTACCCACCCATTCCTGCCACGTCTGGGGTCCTCCATTTGCTCAGATCTTCCTGGCGATGGATATCAGCTGGCCACAGAGGAGAGGGTTCCGAAGAGGCTCAGGGTGGCTGGGAACAGCAAAGACATATTCTGCTTAGTGAAAATGAACATGTCGGACACGGTTTTGTGCCAAGACCCTTTGTTGGTATACCCTGCTGGTCTCCAAGCGTCAAGTGACCATTTCTGGGACCGAATTTCCCGGAACATTCACCATGCAGTGATTCAACAGAAGTTGGATGGGGAGCGTGCTGCAGAGCTTACCCGTCTTGCCAAGACTTTGAAAGCCGACTTCCCCCACTTTCACAGAACATACCAGTACTATGAGATGTTGATGGATGAAAACCGTCCTAGGCAACCTCTTTCGAAGCTTTTGTTTATTGCGGCTGGCCCACATGCCCAGTCGAGGGTTGGCGGAGTGCAGCTTGGGCAACGCCCAGCGCCACCCAAGCCGCATCACTTGAAGGTGGTTTTCCACCGGGGATGATTCCAGGGGCTCATGGGAAAAATGTCAGCTAGACTTGTTGCTAAAGCTTTGTTGGACCACATGCATGTGCTGGCAAACTCATCTAGAATCTAGACATGTATGGATCTGTTTTTGTACATACTTGGGTTCAAATCAAGGCTTCATCCCGGGCTGATCTTTTGATGGGGTGTTGCTTGCATCACGCCTGCCATGGACTTTGCGAATGATTCACCATTGGGACAATTGTCAGCGTACTTTGATACAGTCAGATCCTTACCCGATTTTACCCATAAACTGTATTGTGTAATGACATGTATGCTGTCTCACATCTGAACATGATGATGATATTATAGAAAGAACAAACCCCATCACACTGCCGTCCTCCAAGGTTGTCTCCCAATGCAACTTGGGTGAGTATGTGAACAAGGTCTTCTCGGACTTGGGCCTGTTTCAGCAGGTTGGCAACTTGGCCCCCTCCCCCAATAGTAGTGGGTAGTGGTTGATCAGTCTACAAAATGTGTGTTTGATGCTGTAGACTGTCTAGGTGGTGGAGAAACTGATCCTGGAACCGTACGACAACCCTTCGGACCGAAAACCAACCATCACTTTGGTGCCATCAAGTTCTCTCTCTGAATTTTGGATTGGCCTGAACTACTTTGACATCACGCGTGGTGGCAAGAATGGATGTGGGGTGTTTCCAAAATGACATGCTATGAATGCTTGTTTACAGTAAACTGTGAGACATATAGATACAAAATATATATATATACAGTACTATATTGGAGATTTATATGTATGTATCTTTTATAACTCTTATTCGATCATTAACAGAAAGCTATGTATAATATAGTTGATTATAAAACAAAAAACATATATATAACACATATACTTATAATATATTCTCCCTGCGTTTCAATGATGTTTGAAACTGTCAAACCTGATTCCCTGACAGTCTACCCGCAGAACAGCCAGTTCGCCCTGCACTGGCGTGAGTTTTTGGGCGGCTACCGGCCCACAGAATCTGTTGAAACGAAGTTCCCCTTTAGTGACAGCTCTCGTGCGCTCCGGGTGAACTCAATTGGGTTCATGGATGGGCAAACCAAAGTACTCATCATGGTGTCCATTCTTGCCATGTGCCATGAATTGGATACTTGGTTGGACATGAAAATTTAGCTCGACTCAAACTTAGTAACCCTTAGCATAGTAAGCAAAACCCTGCCACATCCTGCCACTTTCCACCAATCTGCCCGCCTAGATTGCTTCAGGAATGGACTGATGAACAGCTCAGTGATCCTGCAGTGGTGCACATGTTGAAAAGCTTCAGGTGGGTGCGATGTTCCTTTACCTACTTCTCAAACCCTGCTCACCACCACCTCCATAGTTTGAGACTCTTGGAAAGTTTTTAAACACCAATCCTGATAAGTGAAAAAAGTTACTGCATCCAGCAATACTTCGTGTTGTGCTTCTACTAAGAAGTGGGCCACATCACCGCAGAGAAACAGTCGCCATCGGCAATCCAATTCTATGCTGATTTGAAGGAGGCAATTGCACTTGAGCGTAGACTTCAACAAGGTAGCAAACCCTTGAAAGACATTCTGTCCAAGATGGTTGCAGACTACAACCGCATGGTCACTGTCCGCTCCCACCGGATTGACACAAATCGCCGGAATATGGCATACAATCTGCTACTCAGTTGAAAGTTGAAACAAAGATTATTTCTTTATTTATGTCCTACTCTTGTGTTTGGGGAAGGGGGCATTGGCCTGGGTTTGGGTGTTTTGGTATTTGAGGCTCAGAGCACCTCCGGAATTCCATCAGGTTGTTCATGCCCATTATGATGTGTACAAGCACAGTCAGTCAGGACTGATCTTTTCTCAGCTATGGCAGAGTCAAACTTGAGAAAACCATCATGGAAACATTTTGAAAGTCACTGGGTAGATCATTATATCACTTGACCATTCCCTCCAGGAATCACATTGGACATCCTCGCCCTGGACTTTTGGGTCCCAGGCTCCTGTGCCAGAGCGGATGCACCTCAGTACAAAGGCAAGGAGGTGTTCAGGGAGATCCTGGAAGTGACTGAAGCTGTCAGCATTTTGTATGTGGAACGGGTGACCCAGGACAGTATCTTTTCAATTCATGGTAAAAACACAAAACCCATGATGTTTTGTGTGTCAAGTCAAGTTGGCTTTCCTAGATGTCAGTTGATCATTTCCTAATAGCCCCAAGATCGGCAGCTCTCCAGGATTTTTGCAAACGTGCCAGCAAAACCGCTACATCAAGAGTGAAGGAGACATCCTTGAAAAAATGTGTTAATCCATATTTGAAGTCACAGTTTCAATCAAAGCGGGACCCAACACAATCACAAGTCCACCCCCTGCCAGAAGCAGAGCCAGCTGGATGAAACTGGTCACCTGCAACTCTTTGACGTGGTGTGTTTGTGGCTTTGGTTGCAACCAAAGCTGCGCGCAGCACAATGCAACACCATGACGAGCTCTTCAAGAAGGGGTCTCCTGGATGCATTTAGCTGGATTTTGGGTGACCTTTCAGAAAACCCGTCAGTTTCTAGGGGTTGGACTTGGCTGGCGCCAAATACAAATGTCATTTTGTGATTGGTTTTTGGGAAAACCCGTCGCTTTCTAGGTATTGGACTTGGCTGGCGCCAAATACAAATGTCATTTTGTGATTGGTTTTTGGGAAAACCCGTCGCTTTCTAGGTATTGGACTTGGCTGGCGCCAAACCCCAAAAAATCAATCATTTTTAGTCTTTAGATTTCAGGCCAAAAATGTGATTGGGTTTCCAGAAACCCCGTCGCATTTCCTGGGATCACGGGCATGTCAATCATTTGTTCATAATAAATTTGAATCTGTCTTTGTGATTGAATGCTGCCAACATAGTCAAATCATGATTGGGTTTCTGGAAACCCCGTCGCAATCCTGCACCGATTTTCAGGGTTCAAATGTGATTGGTTTTTTAATGTTTTTATATTTTTTCAATTCTCTTCCCTTCCAGGATGTTGGACAATGATCTGAGCTCAGTGATGCGTGCTGGTGAGCCGTTTGATTGGAAGAGGATTAACTTCGTGTTGGAGGCAGGGTCACGGAATGTTAAGTTATAACATGCTGGGGCCCAGGGTTTGTACTTTGATATCTTCAAGACTTGTTGGTGGCTCTCCAACCATCTCAGCGTCTTGCTATCACATAGAACTAACATAGTGATGGTCTTATAGTTCATAAAGGATTTGCCTATTTCAAAAAGGATCGCTATTCCATGGATCACTCAGAGTCTGAAAAAATCGGATTGACTTGTGCACTAGGTGCGTGGGCAAACGGTGGAATCATTCATCAGCCAGTCGCAAGACCGGCAGCGCAACGCTATGCAGAAGTCGGTGCAGGCAGCATTCCGAGCATGGCAGGAGCAGCTGGCCTCTGACCAAGTTATCTTTGAGCAGCAGCAGATCATGCAGCTTTCCTTAACTAGAAAATCACTGAGCATGGCTATAGTGTTAGCCTGGGAATTAAAGAACACATGTTGTGTACAATTCAGAAGGATTTTTTGATGCGATGAACAGCATTCATGTCCTTATGTGATAGTATCTTGTCCCAACTATCTATACTGTTGTCTTAAGACCCCCGATCCAGAGCCCACTGCGATCGGTCCTGCCAAATCTCATCAGTAAGCCATAAACCTGCCAACGGGTGGCTACCCAAGGCTGGAGAAGTCCAATGCAAAGACCCGTGCTAAACTGGTGCGCCAACTGGAGGAGCATGTTTGCAAAAAAATAGTTGGGCTGGGCCTGAGAGTTGATAGCTTACAGATCAATAATTATACATATAGACTATACCCAGAACATCCCAGAACTATTACGAAGAACATGCCAGAACTAATACAGTAGGTTTAGGGATCCAAGCCTTTTGGACTAACATGTTTTTCAAAATAATGTTCCCTCCCATTGTTCCGAGAATGATCAAGTTGATGTAAAGTTCTTCCACATTGGCTCTTGATACTGCAGGAACAGCATCACAAAGCATGGAAGTGCGTCAAGGAGTACCTATCCAGCACTCTCAGGCTTTTCCCAGGTAAATCACCAGACGCTGTCAGCACCGTAATGCCGGAGTTGAATGGGTGGATTGAAGAGACGCTGTCCGACATCGCAGAGGTGCAATCAGCGCTGGATCACGGAGTGATCTTATGGGTCAATTTGCCCAGTGTGGGTATTTTGAGCGCTCACAGACTGGATTGGGTCTTGACGTACTTGAGCAACACTTTGAACAAGTACAAGAAGAACGGGATGGCAATTGTGATTCACGCAAACCGAGCGGGACAAGTTGGCGGGACAGAATGGGAGAAAAAAATGTTGGTTCAAAATACTGGTTCCACCTGTTTGAAAAGGCTCTGCCTATCTAGTAGGAACTCTCCCTGATTAATTTCAATATATATATATAAAATAGTATATATATATAATAGTATATATAATATATATATATATACAAACAAACATATATTTCAACAATGGCTGGGTGAATGAAAAGTGGATATATCTTACGTTCAATGCAACAGCAATCCAAGATTTATGAAACCAAGCTGCGTGCGCAGGAAAGACCAAGAAGTCAAAAGTGAGGTGAAGGATGAGGATGAGAACACAGCGAAGAAGGAAGAGGACACTGATGATGATGATGAGGATGAGGATGCACCACTGGTCCAGGATGCTGATGTGCGCGATGTACGCTATCAGTTCGAGATTCTTGATTGGTTGTTTGGATCTGTTCTTTCCCCACTACTCTACTTGTAAAAATCAAAAAATCTTGGGAAACATGGCTAGTGAATCTGTTCCCTGGTTTCCGTTTTGGCATCCAACCACCTCTCGACCAGGAAAAGCTTGAGTCTGAAAGAACGCAACCTTTTGGTACGCCCTCTGAGCTTCATCTTTGACCCTGAATCTTGCAATGCATTGTTGATATCTTTCCTTGCCTTTCTTTTCAGAACACAAGGGTTTGGTTAGCCAGGAAAAATGGTTTCAATTCCCATCCATTCAAAAATACTTCCCTTCTATGTCTATAACTGTTTAGTTGGCCCCGCGGCTTAGGAAAGTGTGTATGGAAAAAGGGATGGTCTACTTCCTGCATTGGCTGTGGTTAGCAAGGCGGACAAGAACAACCAGTTCGTTACCAGCAAAGCTTTCAAGATGGGCTGCGTCCACGGCATTCAAATGCTGCCCAGGAACCAAATGGTGAAGCAGAATGTTCTTTGGCTACTCCAGTAAATATTGTAATATTCCCAAAAACCAAAAAAAAGCTATGAGGTTTACTGCGCACTTCTAATTTGAAGATTTTGCTGTTTCAACCCCAAGCCACCCCTGACCCGGAAATTCTGACCTGGTCGGCATTTCAGGCACCATCTGAGCGCCCTCACCTGGGCCGTGCTATGACAGACGTACAGGAGATGCGGCAGGCTGGGGGTTTGGGTCTCCAGTAACTAATTTGTATTCTCCCATAAGTTCCCCTATTTTGATTCAAAGTTTTAGAGTTGTAGGGGCTCAATTGTTTCTTGGGATCTCTTGGGGCAGGTGGCAGGTGGCACAGACTTGGTGCGGAAAGCTCTTTCTGCCCTAGCCCCACAATCCATGTCAACACTTGTACTGGTTGATGTCTTGGCGAATGATGGTTGGCCAGCGCTGGCAGCATTGGAAGACTCTTGTGGGTTGGTCACAATGTACCATTTTGTCTTATTGGTGCAATCATTTTTTCTGCTTTATGGGATATCCTACCATTATTACATTAGGATTGGTTGGGGCTTGCATTTATTGCACCACAAACACACCAGCTTACCCAGCCCAGGAAAACACTTCCGGATCCCGCTTGGTTTGTGGCTCAGTGGCTTTGGACACTTCAACGGATGAGCTCAGCAAACGCCTGGCAAACTCGGTCTATGACAAGTGCAGGGCTGGATCACTATCTCTGCAAGGATTTCCATCCTTTGACCCGTTGGTGCAGGCACTGCGCAATGGTGTTTCTGAGACAAACCGCGCTGAGTATCAAGTTTGCGCACCGGTCACTAGCCTGCATTTTGGAAGTACTGTCATCTAATCTCAACAGAAACACCATCCAACATCATGGATCCTGGGTTACTGCTTAAAAAGCCAATCATGGAAAAAAAGAAATCACAGTAGGGTGTGGGATGCATGGCGTACTAGGTTGGTGATGGAAAGCTTGCAGTGTTGCAATCCTATGCGCAAAAGTTCTTGGACGACGAAAGCACCAGTCAATCGGCATCTGATCTCATCCATGACCACAACAACAAGTTCAATGTGGGCGGAGAGTTTCTGAGGGAAGAGCAAACTAGGACCAGATATGTGCTCGGACCCAACATGGTGCTTTAAGTTGGCAAAATCAGGGGAAAATCATAGTTGATTGTCAAAACGGGAAATAGTTGATTGTGAAAATAAGGGTTGATTGTTGGGGTTTCTCGTGACGCTCTCATGCCCTCCGACACTCCAGCCTGTGTCGTGTGGTATGTGGTCTTTGCGCAGGAACCCGTCTGGTGGAACTCCTGCAGAAGAAGGGGTTGCCATCAAAAAGATCAAGGTTGAGACTGGGGACCAATGTAGCGAGGCTGACATCTCAGGCCTTCCCAAACCGAACTTTAGCTGAAATTTAGATGGAGTTGCTGTATGTTCCTTCACCCCCAGTAATTAGCAAAAAACCAAGTAGGTACATGTGAAAATCCTCCCAAGATCACATGTTTCAAATTCTTCCAGTCAGTAATTCCAGTGAACATAACTGCAACTGTAGTAATTATCAATGGGTATGTGTTATATTGGATAACTAACGAAATAGTATACAACCACAACCCTGTGGACAATCTTTCTGCCCTAATTTCTCTGCAATCTAAATTTTTGGACTGGCTTTCATTCAGGTTGAAGATCAACATCAACAACACTGCGGAGCTTCTGACCTGTGGCGATGGGAGCGCCATTTACGTGACCAGCAAGGGCAAGAACGATTTCGTGGCTCACCGCGAGCTGCTACTTAGCAGGACACCATGGTGCCAAACCATAATGTTTATATTGAGGAATATTTGGGTATAAAGAACCCAATCTAAGGTTTAGTTTGATTCCGTATCATTTTGCCAAACCATGATGTATTTACTGAAGCATACGTGCATACACTGACATCGATTTGGTTCGATTCCATGTTTTCTGAATCTAAGTTTCAGCTTTGGAAGCGGTGAGTGGAGAGAGGCTGCTGAGCCTTAACTGCATTAATGCTTGGCTTACAAGTTGTTGGCCCTCCAAACCCATGCTGGTCCTCAAAAATGGCTTAGGAAGCCAGCGAAGTGACAGCCTGTGCGGATGGACGTTGGTTCGCTTTCTCTGCCTCCCTAGATTTGGTTTGCATCCTGGAGAAGAAAACCGTGCCTGAACACCTGATGGAACTTAGTGTTTTGGATCGCCCCGTATTCTTGCGCAAAATCCTGGCAGAACTTGAAGATCATGGAGAGGTTACTCAACATGAATTTGATTCAAAAAAACAAAATTTCCTACTTCAGAACTAGGTATATGACAGCCGTGTCAGTATATGAATTCTACTTTGCCCGTGCTTCAGGTTGGAATGAGGATTTCCCATCACACCATGACCGCAGAAGATCCCAATCCAAAGCCTGAAAAGGCTTTGGTTTTTGTCTTGGATGAAGTCAAGGATGAGCCTGAGGGGCAGGGGCAGGATGGCAAATCCAAAAAGCGTAAACGGAAGTCCGCTGGGTTTCAACCAACGGCCAAAAACTTTGGTTCACGGATTTCGATCAACAAAGTAAAGTCAGCTTCAAAGATCGTGATTGGATGGCGTTGCAGGCTGGGTTCTTCAACAAAGTTTCGGGTACCTTCTCATGCTTTCGAGCCCCCAAGTAAGTAACAAAGAATCAAATCCAATTCAATGATGTTGGGTATTATGTCAAGAACCCTACTATGTTGGAGTCCCGTCTAAACCCTCTACTGAGAGTGGCTCTGTGCCAGCCCTCCCCTTTCAGGCTTGAGTCCATTGATGCGGGGAAGAAGATCACCCCGATCCGTCCAGTAGCCTGTTTGGCAGGCTCCTTGAGCGTGGAGGATATGAATATCCGCCTGATGTAGCCGGTGAGTTGGTGGGCCGCGCACACTGAGATGTGCATGGGGCCTGATTAGTTTTGACAATATTTGCATGGCTTCAATTCCTGATGGTTACAGTAACGGTTTTAGCAAATCTCTATTGGATACCTGTGTCCATTGTCTTCGAAAAACTCAACCATTTTATTTTAGAAAAATAAACTCATTTTGATTCATTGATGTTTCAATGGTGAATGCCATGGACCGATTTCTCTCTCAATGGCGTCCCAACTATCTTGGTCAAGTGGCACATGTTGCAAACCTCAGCTTAGAACTCTTCGATCTTTAAACAAATGATTTAGAACAATGATTATCAGTTACTTAGTTTACACATCCATGTGCCGATATGCCCATTGCATTTCCGAGTTGGGATCAGTTCGCTGTCTTGTAGGGACACCAATTTCACGCATTGTGGTGAAAATGTTTCAGATTTGCCCGGTAGAAATTTGTCAACCATGCAACACAGATACTGGCTACTTGCATGTGGCTGTCATCATTGCAATAATATGGATTCATAGATTTTTTTTTATTTTTAGGGTTCAAAAAAGGCTGGTGGGTTCTGCATTGGTGAACCAACCAGTGGATAGCAATGGCTGTCGACAGTGATTCTGAGAGTGTCCGGGTGGTGACACCGTCCGCAGACTTTGAGACCCCAGTAACTTGGAACGGAATGGAGAGGTTTTGAGCTATACAATCCCATACTTTTGAACCCTGACCAAATCCAACAAAATATTGCTCAGGCATTTGATCTTCGAGTCTTTATGGAGAGGCCGCCACACCCAAGTCTGCGCCTGCATCGTCATCGTTGAGAGCTACACCTGTGCCAAAGGCTTCAGGACTGACTGGGCGTAACTTGGTAGTTAAGTTGACATCATATACACTGAAGTATTGGTGTGTATATAAAGGAAAGAATTACATACATACAAACATGCTTGCATGCATGCATGCATGCATCCATCCATCCATCCATACATACATTTCATACATGTCATACATGTCATACATTACATGCATTACATATATTACATACATTAAATACATTACGTACATTACACACATTACACACAGTACATGTATAACAAACAAAAATACATTACATACATTTCATACCTTACATACATTACATACATTATTCACATACACTACTTAGATACATACAAACAGACAAACATACAAACATACAAGCATACATACATGCATACATGCATACATGCATACATGCAAACATGCATACATGCATACATGTATACATGCAAACATGCATACGCGCATACATGCATACATGCAAACATGCATACATGCATACATACATACATGCATACACACATACATGCATGCACACACATACACACATACACACATACACATGTACACACACATACATACATACATACATACATACATACATACATACATACATACATACATACATACATACATACATACATACACACATACACACATACACACACACGTACATTCATTCATTCATTCATTCATTCATTCATTCATTCATTCATTCATACATACATACTTACACTTGCAGTGACATTTACATTCACATTTACATTTTACATTTTACAGTTACATTGCATTACATTCATTACATACGTTACATATTTACATTTATACATACATACATACATAAGCAAAAAGAAAGATAGATAGATAGATAAATGGATACATGCATTGCAGACATACATACAAAACATAACTTAACATAACATAACATAACACCCCATGCATTACATTACGTTACGTTACGTTTCAGTACATTACATTACATTACATACATACATACATTACAGTACATTACATTGCATTGCATTGCATTACATATTACATATTACATATTACAAATTACATATTACATTACATATTACATATTACATATTACATATTACATATTACGTATTACATATTACATATTACATATATATTACATTACATTTTATATTGCATCACATATTACCATACATTTTACATTACATATTACATATTACATTACATCACATATTACATATTACATTTTACATACTGCATATTACATATTACATATTACATTACATTACATATTACATTCCATATTACATATTACATATTACATATTACATATTACATATTACATATTACATTACATATTACATTACATACTACATACTACATACTGCATATTACATATTACATATTACATATTACACATTACATATTACATATTACTTATTACATATTGCATATTGCATTACATACAGTCTCACACATACTTACATACATACTTACATACATACTTACATACATACATACATACATCACTAGATATATACATACAGTTAATACCTATATACAAAATGCACACATATATCAATTATTCCGGTTGCTTTCCAACAACTTCAATCCTGAACTGTGGTACATGAGTGGGGCTAAGGTACTTCAGATGCCTTGCCTGGTAGAGTTTCTGATGAGTCTTCAGCAGAGAAGGCTTCTTCTCGCTCTGGGGGTTCTAATGTGATGAAACGACCGGCAGGCAAAGGTACAAAAAAGCCTTTTAAGAAACCAAGCAAGAAACATGATGATGATGATGACAATGAGGGACCCGATGATGATCACCAACCGCTGCCTTCCCAAAGAGATGATGAAGATGATGATGACCACGGACTTGATGGTCTTGATGAGCTCCTGGATGTTGGCAACTTGGACGATACCACTGGTGGAGCTGCCAAACGTCCAGCTTCCAAGTCTAGCGGGGGATCTCGAAAGAAACCAGCTGGAAGAAAGCAGGCCAGGTGAATCTACTATTTACCATTCAATGCTTCAATGAATACGATGAGCATCAAACCACATTGTATCAACTAGGTCTGGTGTGTCATCACAAAATCTTTTCCAGGCGGAGATGATGCCATTTGAGAATATGATTGAAGGTGCTGATGTCCCGATTGGGAGGCCTCACACACTTGAAGCATTTTGAATCCAAAACGTGGTTATTCACTTAGGTTTGTTGTTTGATTCATGGTTCGATGTGCCACCCATTGTTCTACCATCTTCTCATTCAGGGCGAATGAAGACCAGCTGGCCTGTGACAACTCCCAGTATGCCCATGATGCTGTCCATAATGTTCCCGGACCGGATCATGTTGGCCCCAGTGTTCCCGGAAGCCCTGTCGATTCGCTTTTTTTGTATCTTGGCACAATGTTCAATGTTTCCTAATTATGATGGCATTCAACAAGATTGAAGTGCAAAATGGTGCACTTGGGAATGGGCTTGTGTAGTTTGAACTAATCTCATTAAACTCAGGTCTGGTCATGAGATTTCAGGAATTGAATCCCCGGCATTCAAGCTCAATGATGAGCATGTGTATTCCGCTGAGAGCCCTGCTCCTACAGTGGCTGTTACCCCTGGTTCTTGGGGAAAGTATTCCTTTTCTCCACAGCATCCTGACAATCAATTGGGCCTCATTGACGATGAGAACAATCATGACAATGACCCTTGGATTATTTAGAATGGCTTGCCAAAAAACAATGTGAAATCAAGATCTCCCCCCTGTTCATAGTGTTTACTTTACTTTGTCAAGGACCTGCGACGTTTGGACGCCCATGGGGATCTGTCCCCTCTCCTTCGTGACGAGGCGCTGATGTCCATCCATGGCGGTGATGGGATCTCACGCTTTCCCAAGTTTAAACATATCTGAGATGTCAGTTTGAGTTGTTTGAGATGATGTCAATTAATGTCAATTTGATTTCTTTGGGATGTCATCAACCACTCTTTCAAACTCTTCCAAACAAATCTTTGGGATGCCAATGCAGAGGAAGCCATACCTACGAGCCCTGTTGATTTGACAGCTTCTCCTGAGAAGGACCTGCTCTGTCGGTATCAGTACTGCTCCCTGAGTGGGTATGGGTTTAATATGGTTTAATTCCCTATCGTACCACCATCCATGAGGTTTACTGGTTCGTTTCAATTCCATTCATAGTGTGCGATTTACTGTATTGACTGGCTCACAAACGGCTTACGACGCAGGAAGTCTCTGATGCGGAAGTTGCCTACCTGCAAGAATCCCAATGCTCACCTCCAATGAGCATGTGCCAATGATGCTTCACAGGCTCCATTTTCTGGTTTTCTGGTGTAAAGAACATGGTGGCTAAGGTTGGGCTGACACCACAAAAGAAGCCTAAGAAACCTTCGAAAGCAGTTCACAAAAACAAAGCTCCAAAGTGTCCAAAGGGTAAGGCTGCTGCAAAGGCAAAGGCAAAGGGGAAGGCTTCGACCCAGGTGAAGGGAAAGCGCAAGGCAGAGGCATGCCCCAAGGCTAAGTCAAAAGCAGCTGTCGGAAAGATTCCAAAGGCAAAAGCAGCACCAAAGAAAAAAGCCGCAAAGAACCCACCCGTGAAGAAGCCTGAGACTGCCGAGAACACAACTGTGAAGAAGGATTCGGTTCAGAAAAAGCTGCACAGCGCCCCTGGGTAGCAACAAGTCTGTCAAACACGTGTTGCAAACAAAACATTTTTTTTACTTTGCTAGCGCCTGACTTGGAAGGTTTACTGTGCAGCGTACACAAAAGCAAAGACTGATGGCAAGACTTTGGAGGAAGCACGTGCACTGGGAATTGAAGCCAGGAAGAAGCTTCCTGGTTGCATTTTTCCCCACCTGCCAGGTGAGGGTTGTTAGATTTTATCAGAGCTGTTCTCCTCATCCTCCTCCTTCTCCTCCTCCTCCGCCTCCTCCTCTTCCTCCTCATCCAGTTTCTCCTCGACCATGTCTGCATCAACTTCCACGTCCACTTCCGTCTTGCCAACTCGTCGCCAATCTCTTCGGCCAACATCCGCGCGCAGTGGGCACTGCTGGACCTCAACTGCCGGCTGCCGATCTGAGTGGGCACGGCTGGACCTCAACCGCAAGGTTCCGAGCTCAGTGAGCACCACTGGACCTCAACCTGGGACCGTCCGAGCTCAGTGAACACCGCTGGACCTCAACCTGGGACCCTCCGAGCTCAG